CCTAGGTTTCTTGCAGGGGTGGTTCTGGGGGGTTTGTGAGGGGTTGTTTTGAGGTGAAGGAAGATGTATCGTATCTTTCGTACGGATGAGAAGGTTGCCAAGGTTGGGGGGTTGTCGGAGAGCGATTAAAGGGGGCTGAGGGAAGCACTTCATCATCTTGTCAGATTTTTCTAAAATGTCTTTGTTCTGGTTGTGTATGTTGTGGACATTGGGCAGCTTTTGGTGTGTCATCATCATCATCATCATCATCATCATCATCATCATCATCATCATCATCATCATCATCTACGGCTCCGGCATCGGCGACGTCGTCTCTTTCGAGCCCTTCAGAGGTGAGTCCAGTAACCATTTAACGAAGGAGCGGATATAATATGTAGTCGGCAACGGGGTGTGTCAGATTCTCTACCCAAGACAAACCCTGCTGAATAAATTTAGTGTAAAAATATACAATACTTTGGCTACTCAAAATGACACGAGACAATGGTGAAAGAGGTGATTGAGGGAAAGATGTGGAGCAGGGGAGCCAGGGGAAGACAAAGAGTAACATGGATGGATATCATAAAAGCATGGACAAGCCTTGATATGGCAGAATTTGCAACGGCAGCTCATGACCGTGAAGGGTGGAGGGTCTTTACACGTCAACCTCTGAGTCAGGTAACCAGGTTGTCAGTAAGATGTTCCAAAATATTATAAGCCCAGAGCGCAATATTTCTCAGGAGAGGAAAAATGCGTTTTCACCCTTTTAACAATAAATTGTACCTACTTGCATAAGAGGTGAAATAAGGCGCTCGTCAATTTTGGGGCCCTTTGGAGTTATTTCAGCATCTAAGAGCTTATTCCTTTGTCTTGCTTTCAATAAAAAAAATACCTTTCTGTTTTAAATAGAGGTCGAGATATTTGCGATTGAAAGAGGTGAGGGTCGCCTGCTTTTAGTGGTAAAATTAGCGAGAAAATGGCCGCCAAAGTTTGGTGACCTCCATAGCTTGAGAGACCTTGGGAACTGAATATGTACACTGTTTGTGCCTTTAATCAACGTTATTCAATAAAATACACAAATAATTGTGCTTTTTATGGGCATTAAATGTGTTGAGCCCAAAAAAACAATTATTCGATAATAATTCCCAAACCTGTGAAAAAATGCCAGTTTCTTGACTTTCATTATTTGGACGATCGCCTGATTTCCCCACGTTGCCTCATATTAATCATAGAACGAGCGATCCCATAATCCAGCTGAACTGGTTCGTTGTATACTGAGAGTCAACACAAAGCTGTAACCTTCACTGCTCTGACTTCTGTTCCTCAGGGAAAACGGACCTGAAAGACGCAGCCTCAGGCCTGATCCAGCCTCCAGTGGGTCGCACAAACACAGCCCTGGGGCTGCAGGTAGGTTATGGGTTCATCTCTTACTTACCTACCTACATCTTGACCTTTTGGTAAACGCGATGTATTGACCGTATCTTTCTTTCAGGGCACTTCATGAAAGGAAAGACAAGATCTGAAGGGAAACAAGTCAGTATTAATCATTTCTCTCCTTTGGAACATGATATCGCCGAAGCCAAGATCTGAAGGGAGGGGAGTCGTACTTGGGCAATCTACTTCATCTTCGTCTACCGCCAAGGCAAAATTTGTATCATGCATACTGCTTTAAGATTGTCTGTCAAATTCAAACGGTTAACAGGTTAATACGTAAACAAGTCTAACTTTTTGAGTCTCAAAAGCATTTATCATTCATTTTTCAGAACTGACAGATGTGAAAAGTTATGACTATACCTCAAGGTTAATCTTGCATTTGATCGATATAACTATTTACAACACCTGATTTTGTCCGATCGAGGGTATGTAAGCAAACAAAGTTATGTTACGAGATTGAATAGAACGAAGACAAAGTCGAACCAATTCTTGGAGAAGCAAGTCGTTCTGACCACCACCGCCAGCATCTTTTTAGTTAATGTTGGAACAAGCGAAAAAAATATGGGCAATAAGAACAACAACAACAACAAGTATTAGAACAACAACAACAACAACAACAACAACAACAACAACAACAACAACAACAACAACAACAACAACAACAACGACGACGACGACGACGACAACTACAACAGCAACAACAGCAACAATTACAATGACAGCAACATAAAAAGCAATAATTACAACAACTATTTCAACAAAGACAACAAGAATAGTAGTAACCGAATTTTCAACAACACAAGTAACCAGTCACCACCAGTGTCTTATCTCACAACGTCTAGAGCATTGAGATATGTCGTGTCACGACGTGTGGGAATCAGGCACTCGTCAATTTTTGGGCATGTGGAGTTATTGAAAGCTTATTTATTTCTCTTGCTTTCAATGAAATAAATATCCATCAAACTTGAATAGAAGTCGGGATATTTACGATTGAAGAAGATGGGGTAGCTAGCCTGGATTCAGTGGTTACGTTAATGAGAAAATGGCCGCCAAAGTTCGGTAACTTTATTGGCTTAGGAGTCCTTGAAAACTGAAAATTACGTATTATTGTATGCTTTTATACAAGATATTTTAAGTAAAATTCACCTGGAAATGTGTTTTCATATGAACATAAAAGGTTTTTAACCAAAAATCCAAATTTTGATAACAAACACCAAGAAGGTTGGACAAATGCTTTTTTCTTCGATTTCATTATTTTGACAAGCACCAATCAAATACTTTCTCTACTCTTGTTTTTTTTTCTGCTAAGCACCAATCAAGGATCTTCTCTTCTCTCGTACGTTCCATGATGCCCCAGTCAAACACCTTATCTGCCCCTGTTCCTTCATTGAAGCACCAATCACATACATTCTCTATTCTTGTTCGTTTATTAAAGCAACTATAAAATCATCATTTTTTACTCTTTTCCCTTCATTGAAGGGCTAATCAAAGACCTTCTCTGCTCTTGTTCGTTCTCTGAAGCACCATTCAAAGACCTTCTATGTTCTTGTTCAATACTTGATGAAACTATCAAGACCTTCTTCGCTTATGACTGTTACGTAATGCACCAATCATGGACCTTCTCTGCTCTTATCCGTTCCTTAATGCTCCAATCAACAATTTCTCCGCCTATGACTGTAATGCAATGCACAAATAACGGACCATCTTCTCTTTTTAGAGATACCCAATCACAGACCATGGAGTGTTTGTTTTATGTTTTAGAATCTGCTGTTATCCCCTTCACCTTTCCGCGCCCTAGATAGTCTCTTCTCATATTTCCCAGTGTCTCACAAACTTCCTTTTACAATTCCAGACAATGAGAGACATGTTCCGCACCCAGTCGAGAGAAGGTGTCCCTCACATCGGTATCGTCATCACTGATGGTATGAGTTCAAACCCATCAGAAACCGCGATGCAGGGCGCAATGGCCAAAGTCGAGGTAAGAACAAGATTGTTAAAAATGCTGAACCGTTCTTCTGATGCACAATGCATGTATCATATAGACTTCGTTCTTTGTTATCAATATTATTATTATTATTGTTGTTGTTGTTGTCGTTGTTGTTGTTGTAAAATCATCATTACTACTTTTTATTATTAACATCATTATTACTATTACTATTTTCTTTTTTATTATTTTGATGATTATCATCATCATTGTTATTATTATTATTATTATTATTATTATTATTATTATTATTATTATTATTATTATTATTATTATTATTATCAATATTATCAATTTTATTATCATCTTACTTTCAGGGCATCAAGTTGTTCGTGCTGGGTGTAGGAGATAGAGTGTTGAGGAAGGAGGTGGAGGATATGGCCAGTGCCCCGAAGTATCTGTTCGATGCTCCCGATTTCAAGTACCTGATCGGCATGGTAGAACGTCTGCGAGACAATATTTGCTCTGGTAAGTGAGGAATTGTGTGTGTATGTGTGTGTGTGTGTGTGTGTGTGTATGTGTGTTTGTGTGAGTGCGTGTGTGTGTATGTGTGTGTGTTTATGTGTTTTTTGTTTGTATGTATGTGTATGCGTGTATGGGCGCATGTGTTTGTGTATGTGTTGAAGTGAATATGTGTGCGTATGTGTGTCTGCCGGTGCGTTTACATCTTAGGTGTTAGCCCATGTGTAAGTGTTTATTTGAGTCATTATTTGTATGTGATTGTATCTTGCATCAAATGTTGTTGTTTTTCTGTTCACAGCCATCCAGGAGACAACAACAACGTCAACAACCACCACCACGACAACAGCACCATCGACTGTTCCTGCCATCCCAGGTGACTCTTCAGTAGTTCCCTCTACCCCCCCCCCCCCCCCCCCCCCGCCTTTTCCACACACAAAAAATAAAAATAAGAACGACAGTTTATCCCTTTCAATATCCACCAACAATTTGCACTGTTGTCCAATAAAAACAAGTAAACAGCTTAATTCTCAACTTGCTATTATAATTTTTCTTTCTTTATTAGTCGTTCAAATGAACGTTAGTAGGCCTACGTGTTTACTTAAACAGGGTTTTTTATTTTTACATAGAAGAGTAATATACAAAGTAAAGAAGAAAGAGAGATAATAACGGTCTAATAAAAAAAAATATAACAGCTTAATTCTCAACTTGATATATTTCCCGCCTACGTGTTTACTTTAAAAGTGTTTTTTATGCTGAAGAGTAATAAAGAAAAGAAGAAAGAAAGATAATAATTGTAGATGGTTAAAACAGGAAGAAAGAAGAAGCAAACCACACTGGGGTACCCGCCAACCACCCTCCTTAAGTCGCTGCTCACTCAAACTTAATAATACATCATCTTTTACTCTAAATCTGCTCCAGTGGGTGATTGGCGGGTGCTCTGGTGTGGTTTGCTCCTTCTTTCCTATCAAACATCTATCGTCCTTATCACTCCTCGACCTTCTTTTTCGTGTTTGTTACTCCCCTGTAACACCTCTAATCTTCGGCACTTATATGACTTTATTGTGTTGCAAGTGCGGTAAAACTCTTACTAAAACTAAACTAAACAACATCTGCTCCAGATCTGTGCAAAGAGTGCCTGGTGGAAGGAGGGGTGGGGTTCAACCCCAAACCCAACGACTGTGAGAAGTACGTCATGTGTGTGCCCAACGGTCTCACCTACGACCCGACCATCCAGACCTGTCCGTCTGGAATGTTCTGGAGCAGCGAGGCCGTGTCTTGTCTAGACGCTAGATACGTCACGTGTCCTTATGGTGAGACCTTCCTGTTGATCATGCTTTGACCTACCACAACCCTGAATTACCAAGTTCTGTCAGATCAGTTCCTAGTTTTGAGTTTCACAATATAGTTAAGCTTTTTCGATTGCAATTCTTTGAATATCTTGATAACGACTCCAAATAATCTTATAATTTTGGCAGAGCAGATAGAACATTTGTATTCTGATCTCATGCTTTTAGTAGCTCATAACGAGCAAATTTGTCCGATAGAATTGTGTAATTTTAAGGAGGCAATATATTAAAAGTGTTCTCTTTGTCAACTTGCCCTGCATTTGTAAATACCTTTTGCTTTAAATCTGGTTCGTTGGGGATGTTGGTTTATGAAACACGCACTCACACACATGCACACAAATATACATACACACATAATATATAAATGCATACAATCACCACCCCTCCACACCCCGCCCCCATTCCCCTGCACCCCTAAAACCCTTAACTCTAAATCAATGCCTTTGAACACGGACTAAAACAAAGTCGTATTCCTACATCCCTAAAATCTTCAACTCAAAATCAAAACCATTATACACAAATTAAAACAAACTAGGACCCCTATACCCACGGAATCCCAAATCATAAAATAAAACATTTAAGCACCAAGTAAAACAAAGTCACACCTCTCCACCCCTAGACTCCCAACCCTGAATCAAAACCTTTGAACACAAACTACAAGTAATACAAAATGGCCCGACATTACTTCTACAGACAAATGCCGAGGTATGCCGCCGTCCCACACCTACATAGCCAGCGCGGGAAATTGTCGCAGTTACTACAGCTGCTCTAAGGGTCAGAGGTCAACTCCTCTGTGCTGTGAGCGAGGGTACCGTTACATCACGAGTGTGGGCTGCTCACCTGACCCCACGTGCAGGGCGGAGTGTCCTCTAGACGTCACCATCTACAACTCAGGTCTGTGTGACATTCATTTGCTGTTTGTTACCTGTTTATTTGCTGTTTACTGTGACCTTACCACAATATGCCGAAGGCCCAGGAAATTGTCTCACTAACAAGGCAATCCCCAATGTCCAGATCAGATGCGGGAACAACCTTACTTTGACTGTGAAACGAAGAAAACTAAAATAGTATGGCCATGTAACAAGATCGTGTGGCCTGTCCAAGACCATTCTTCAGGGAACTGTGCAGAGGAGGAGAAGGAGAGGAAGGCAAAGGAAGAGGTGGAGAGACAACATTGCGGAGTGAACAGGGAAATCCTTCGCCCAAACTCTGGCGCTCGCAGGGGAACGTGAGAGGTGGAGGCACCCGACGAGGCTCTCTGTCATACCACAGTATCCATCCCTCCGGAGACGTCTCCGACTGAGACATACCATTCAAAATGTCAAAATGCTGTGTGCCTCTGGACCATAGACCAAGCAAAATGCTTTGCGCCTCCAGACCAAGTAAAAAAGTATGGGGGGGGTTAACCCACAATTTGATAATTTGCTGTCAGGTTTGAAATTTTCTTGAAAATAAATGTTCATGGGTGCTTGCTGGAGACGCCCTTGCGATTCCTCGTGGATTATGGAATCAGTGGCAGTGACTTGTTTCTCTGTTCAATTTTTGTGTTGGAGTTTCATCATCACCACCAAGTGCCAGAACTGAAAGAGACATCAGCGATCATGGTTCTCCATTCTTCATTTTCCTATTTGGATGCTCTAAAAGAAATGTTGTATTATGATTATTAATCTTGTGCTCCCTGTCACCTATCTGGAGTTATATGCATTTTGTTCAATTCTCTGTCTGTCTGTGTGTCCGCCTGTGTGTCTGTCTGTCTGTGTGTCTGTCTGTCTGTGTGTCTGTCTGTGTGTCTCCCAATCTCCCCCTTTCTCTCTCTGCCTCTCTCTCTCTCTCTCTCTCTCTCTCT